ATGCTTATGCTTATGCTTATGCTTATGCTTATGCTTATGCTTATGCTTATGCTTATGCTTATGCTTATGCTTACTTTTTTATATTTTGTTTTAAAAAATCATCTATTTATGAGATGAATTAATTCATATTTTATTTCCTAATACTAGGGAATGGTATCTGAATGGCAACTACCTTGTGATATTTGTAAGCATTGGAATTATTCTCCCCCTTTCACTGCTAAAAAATTTAGGTAAGCAATTACTTATTCAAATGCATAGTTTATCTTTAATTGATACTAAATTAAACTATCCTTTCACTTTTGAATTAACGATGCATTCATTTATTGTTTTTAAAGGTTATCTTGGTTATACAAGTGGATTTTCGCTTACTTGTATGGTATTCTTTCTCAGTGTGGTAAGTGTTGATACCACATGTGGGGAAAGCATGTGCACATTCTTTACATCAGCCATCTGTAATCTACCTCCAGATGGTGCTGGAACTAGATGTTCCAGACATCTAGAGACACCACTTTGAGCATTTTGCTTTGCTTTGCTTTGCTTATTTATTTATCATATTTATATAGCCGCCCATCTCACATAGTGTGACTCATGCATCAAAATGGCAATAGAGGGTTGATGGGCATAGTCAATGGCTCCAGGTTTTTGTGAAGTTCTCCTCCATTTGCACCACATAAACTGGACCTCTTATGGCATGTGCCATGGCAGTATAAATAGGTGCCAAAGTAGTGGTTTGTGTTGTATGTTAACACTGATTAAACCCTTTCCAATTACATCTTTAGCAGAACTAGCTAGAACTCCTCCAGGAATGGTCAACCAGGCCACCTCCCAAGCACACTAAGATCATGTCACCAAAATCAGTATCACAAAATTGCCAACTTTCACTTGTGCAATTCTTTTTCTTTTGTTTTTCCTTTTGTAAAATTAAGGTTGGGAAACTCTTTTAGAAGCACACCTTTCCATTACCATCCCTAACCTCCCCAAACACAAAACATGACCCAAAATTACACCACTGAAATGTGGCTATTTGGTACTGAAAATCAAAAGTGTGATATGGGGCCAGTTTGGAAGCTGAGGATGTGTTAAAGATGGCAATTGAAGCATCAGGTCTCCCAGTCCTATTTCTACCCTATCCCCAAAACATAAAAGGGCCCAAAATTTGGTCCTGTCACCTCCTCTTGTAATCGGGGAATATTGGGAGGACAAGATGTGGTTCTGATCTCTCAAATACCACCTAACCCTGGAGTATTGTATAACAGCAGTATCATTAATAGCTTGAGAGGCAGCAGAGCATAATAGCTCAGTCTTGGTTAGGTTGCAAATCTTCTTAACATGTTACACATATTAGTATTTTTATTGACACTAACTCAATAAGTACAAGGAACGTGTATATCCAAAGTATTATTTTTTTCTTAATTATTGGTACCCAGGCTGATTTCTATTTATTGCATTATTTCTCAAAATGGAAATGTCTCTGCAATTGTGGATTTCTAAATAAAGATTAAAAGGTATACTGCATATACTTTAAAAATGGAGATCAGTACCAGTAAATATCCAATGGCTGCATTCTTCAAAACATGTTCAGCTTGATATCAGTGGGATGATTTGGCCACATAATAGTCCAAATGAAATTCTGGCATGACATTATATCCAAATGTACTTGTTATGTTTTACTTTTCTGGCAATAGAAAATTGAAATGTAACCTAATTAGCTATAACTTCTGCAAGAACAGTAGTAGCACTGTTTTATAATGAGATCCAGTGCTTTCTTTGTTGAATTCATGCATGTATTCTCTTGTGTATATTTATAATAATTTAGGTAATCTACAAGAAATCTCAAATACCTTGTCCTCTCCCGCTCTTGGACAATAATGTTGGTAACTGGTCCTACAATTACACCACAGTTCCGCTACATGTAATGGCATTACCAAATGATTCTGCTAATTTGGAACTAAATTTGATGATGGACAGCACTAACAAACAGTATTCTTCAGTTTTTGAAGAAACCAAAGCTAAGCTACATCAAAGTGGAGTAGAATATGAAGCCCATGGAGAAGACAATGACAAATGCCAAGCCAAGTATTTTGTGTTTAACTCACGGGTAAGGCCCAGTTATCATTTGCCTGACAGAAAAAACTGTTTAAATGTTGACCTTCTGCATTAAAGAGTCCATTCTGGAAACTTTAAATATGTAAAACTGTACTGGCCACTGCTTCAACTTGACTGGTGGCCATTTTTTTGCTCAATCATGGTTAGAAGTATATTGAAGCAATAGCCCAGATCTATCATGTCTTCTTTCTCCTACTTTCCAAATTTATATACAAGATATGATTGAGTCATTTGCTTCCAAAACAGGTCACTAGGTAGCAAGTTACTGGTCTAACTCTCTTCATCTGTGCTTCTGTCTTGGTCACAGCTTGAACTGTACCAACTACATCATAAAAACCCCTTACAATGTTCAGGAAATTGAATTCAGGTTACCCAGGGAAAAACAAACCCAGCATTAACTAGAGCTGAAATTCTTGTTTTCTTTCAGACTGCCTACACAATACCAATTCTGGCATTTGCATTTGTGTGTCATCCGGAGGTATTACCTATATACAGTGAACTTAAAAAGTAAGGCTGCTCACAGATTCCTTCTGACTTTTTTTTTCCTTTCATAATGGGTGAACTGTTTCCTCATAGTAAAACATTACAGGTAATCCTCAAGTTACAACTATTCGTTCAGCAACCATTCAAAGTTACAACGGTGCTGAAAAAGGAGACTTACAACTGGTCCTCAAAGCTGTGGCCGTCCCAGCATCCCCATGGTCACGTGATTGCAATCTGGGTGCTCAGCAACCTATTCACACTTACGACCAGTTGCCAAACACCCCACGATTACATGATCACCATTTACAACCTTCCCTGCCAGCTTTCCCCAAGCAAAGTCAAGGGGAAGCTGGCAAGGAAGGTCACAAGCTGCTGAGGTAAATCTCCCCCTTTCTTCACTCTTTCTCCATTTCCCCTCTTTCCATGGTCTCTCTGCGATCGCACACATACACACACATACCCCGCACCCTCTTTCCATGGCCTCCCTGAGATCACACCCACCCCACACCCTCTTTCCTTGGCCTCCCTGTGCTTGCACACACACATGCACACACACCCATGCCCTCTTTCCTCAGACACCTTGCAATTGCACACACTCCATGGCCTCATTCCGTGGCCTTTCTGAGCTCATGCCACACAAAGCACCCTATCCCCCAACTTGTGCACAGCCTGTGCCGGGCCTTCCAGGGCCTCTCCCACCCCTTGCAGCTCCCCATGCTCCCTACATGAGACCCCCCCTTTGCCTCCTGCTTAACAACCTGCGTGTCTTGGGTTATGACAACAACCAGGACTTAGTGACCGCAATCCCAGTCCCAATTGCAGGACTGAGGACTACCTGTACTGTTTATTATTTCTGTTTCACTTTTCATTGATTTATTGTTATTTTCTCATCTCTTTATAAGTTTCCATTTCACATTGGGGATATCTGGGGAAGCAACACACATTAAAAAGGGGGTGGGGAGTTACTCATGTGGTAGCAGCTGCCATTTTGACTTTTTTTGGCCCCTCCACAAGGATACTACTTCTTAATGTACTATCCACTATATGTTAGGTTTTTGCTCAATATATTTTATACTGTAATAGTAATTTACTGTTTGGTTGGAATATAACAGAGGGGGACAGCAGGGGAAGAGATAAGCTCTCCTGGGGGCAATAGTAATGCTCCCACTTTCGGATGTATGCAGAGCCAGTCCCACCATGAAGCAACAGACCTTGAATGACAATGACACAGCCCCCCCCCCCGCCCCCTTCCACTCCATTTCAGCTGAATCTGTCAGCTACTTCTTCCTACTGGAGGACAGACCTACATTTATCTCATTTTTCAGCTGGGTCCCTAAATGAAACTAATTTCTCAGTTGTGGCAGAAGATATTCTTGCTAGCAATGA